AAGGTAGTAATGAATTAAATGGACCAATAATCTCATTTGTCATAAAGTGATGTCCTATGGTTGCTTTACTATAACAGATGTTTATCCCTTTGGGAGTAAAATAATAGGGCTGTGCAAAGTTTTGAACAGGTGTCTTACTTTAGCGACATTTGCGGAGTAATGTGGTTCCTTTGATTCTAAAAAACTTTGCTTTGCTATGCTTCAGAATCTCTCTCAGCCTGCTTTGAATATTGCAAGAGAAGGCAGCCTAAAGCCCCTTCTTTGAAGGAGTTGTCCAGGCTGTGATAGTCCCAAAGTTGCTTTTTCAAGAGGCAACTAGACTTTTTTGGTTGTTCTTTGAAGAGTTTTTACTTCTTGAAGAAGCTTCTTGGATGAGAAGAGAAATGTCTTCAAAGAAAAATCAGAAAGTCCAGTTGCCTCTTGAAAAAGCAACTTTGGGACTATCACAGCCTGGACCACTCCTTCAAAGAAGGGGTTTTAGGCTGCCTTCTCTTGCAATATTCAAAGCAGGCTGAGAGAGATTCTGAAGCATAGCAAAGCAAAGTTTTTTAGAAGCAAAGGAACCACATTACTCAGCAAATGTAGCTAAAGTAAGACAACTGTTCAAAACTTTACACAGCCCTATTATTTTACTCCCAAAGGGATAAACATCTGTTGTAGTAAAGCAACCATAGGACATCACTTTATGACAAATGAGATTATTGGTCCATTTAATTCATTACTACCTTGCAGCAATTTTTTCAGGGTTTCAGATGGGACAATTTTCTAGTGTTCCAGGGAATAAACTTGGGACCTCTGCGTGCAAAAACCCAGAAATTGTTAAATTGTTTATTTGCAGACTGCCATCAATGTACAAAGGGTCCATTCTCAGAAGTTCACAATTTATTTCATTTAAATATAACTTCAATCTTGTTTGCTTCCCATTTTTTTTCCATTGTCCTATATTTTTCCCTTTGGTATTCTACATGATTTTTCACATCTTTAATAAGAATTCAAAGCAAAAATAATACACCTAAAAAGTTCTGCCTGAACATAAATCACATCATTCCTCAAGCAGCCTTCTTTTGTTTAATCTATTAATCAGACTACAGGAAAGTCATCCAATGTGTAATCTTGAAACCCACCCATCTTCCCAAGCAGCTTCTAATCCCACTCACCTAACAAGCAGAAATCCTAGGG